GTATGCTGCTAGGTTTTATCATTTCCAAGCGTGGCATCGAAGCCAATCCAGAGAAGATCTTGGCCATCACGAGGATGGGCCCGATTCAGAACATAAAGGGGGTACAGCGAGTTACAGGGTGCCTCGCCACCCTCAGCCGCTTTATCTCGCGCCTCGGCAAACGAGGTCTCCCCCTCTATCGAATCCTAAAGAAGGCCGACCATTTCGAATGGACGCCTGAGGCCTAGGAGGCACTTGACACGGTCAAGCAGCTTCTGACGAAGGCCCCGATCCTAGTCCCCCCGACCGATGGGGAACCGCTTCTGCTCTACATCGTGGCCACCACGCAAGTGGTCAGCGCCGCCCTGGAAGTAGAGCGAGAAGAAGAGGGACACATCCTCAAAGTGCAGTGTCCCGTATACTACATTAGCGAGGTCTTGTCCGATTCCAAGACCCGCTACCCCCAAATCCAGAATCTCCTGTACGCCGTCCTCATTGCCAAAAGGAAGTTGCGTCACTACTTTGAGTCGCATCCAGTGACGGTCGTGACGTCCTTCCCTCTCAGTAAGGTCATCCACAAAAGGGATGCCACAGGAAGAATCGCCAAGTGGGCACTCAAGCTGATGGGTCAAGGCATTTCATATGCCCCCCGAACGACCATCAAGTCCCAAGTGCTAGCTGATTTCGTTGTAGAGTGGACGATGTACTTCGATGGATCGTTGATGAAAAAAGGTGCCGGCGCGGGGCTGGTCTTCGTTTCGTCCCACGGGGTACGCATGAGGTATATGGTTTGCATCCATTTCCCCTCCTCCAACAATGTGGCCGAATATGAGGCGCTCATCAACGGCCTGCGCATCGCCATCGAGTTGGGTATCCGACGGCTTGACGTCCAGGATGACTCCCAGCTAGTCATCGACCAAGTCATGAAGGAATCAAGCTACCACAACGTCAAGATGGCTGTGTATTGTCGAGAAGTCCGCTAGTTGGAGGACAAGTTCGATGGTCTCGAGCTCAATCATATCCCGAGGCATCTCAACGAGGCGGCCGACGTGCTGACGAAAGCGGCGTCCGGTAGATAGCCAGTGCCGACAGACATCTTCGCCAGCGATCAGTACAAACCCTCAGTCCGCTACGAGGAGCCAGAATAAGCCAGTGATGGGCTGCCTGCCCTAGGCTCAGGGACTAACCAACCATCGGCTCCATCCAACCCGAAGTCATGGAGCTTAACGAGGATCCAGTGACAGAGCCCGACCCTCTGGCCGAGATACGGTTGACGCGACCAATGTGGCCCACGGCCAAACGCTAATCGACAGGCGCGCATGCTCACAACTGACGTGGTTAGCGTGCCACAGTGCCATAAATGGCATGGCGACAGCGGTTTAGCCTCGTGCGCGCGGCATCAAAGCGGGACAGCAACGCAGCGCAGTGCAGTGGCAGGCGACGCACTGCAATGTAGCGGGTAGGCATGAGCGCGACGTGATGCGATAGCAGTGGCAGCGGCTGCATCACGGCGTGAGGTGTGTCAGCGGCGCGACCACACGCGGGGTAAGGGCAGCGCCACTCAGCCGGGGAAGCCACAGCAATGGCGACTCCTCACAGTCGAGTTAGGGTGACTAGGACGGCCAGGCAGCGCGTGTGCACACGCAGAGCGTGCCAACGCCGCGACGCCCCCCATGGCCTGGTGACCGCGCCTAGCCCAGAGGGCTAGCCCGTGCGGTGCACAGATTTTAAAGCAGTGACTACCACTAAACCATTGCCTCTAAACCAAAACTGACTTCACCACGATCAAACTGATACATGAGGCTACTCAGCCGAGCTACAACACCGCATCACCCTCTAACCCAATCTTTCTAAATAAATTGCTAAACTTAGCAATGTCTAGCTGTACACAAGCTTGAATTTTTCTAAGTTTTTTGAGTTGAACTCTATTTCAAATTGCATTTCTAAGCTATTGAAAATATTACTAAGCAATATTATTTTTCAACAAGTGTTTCATTGTCATCTACAAAGTTTGCCCTTCCAACTTTATTTAAGTATCACACACATATTCTATAGTATTTTTGCTTAATAAAAATTGGTTTTAAACCCTACTTGATATACATGAGCTATTGCATCAACATTGATTTAACATTTTTATTGATTATTTTAGGTTACAAGAAATTTATCAACACCTTCTATCACATGCATTATTACACAAACACGATGCTCGTGACATGATTTAGTAGTTGGTTTAGGGCATAATACCGAGGGTGTTACATGGGCCTAGCCATTCATCTCTCACTCACCTAGCTTGATTGTTTCATCATTTGGTGAGATTGTAGAGCATCCAAGTGTATTGCTTGAGTGATTGCATCTAGAGGCACTTGGTAATTGTGTTTCGCTGTGGATTTCTCTTGTTACTCTTGGTGTTTGCCACACTTAGACGGCTTGGAGCAGCGAGGATCGATGAGCGGAGGGTGGTGCTTGTCTCTGGCCCCGATCGGTGGATTGTGAGGGGTTCTTGAGCCTTCCCCTGGGAGATCATGAAAGGCATCTCTAGTGGATTGCTCGTAGCTTGTGGATCCCCATGTTGTGTTGGCTGTGCGGCACCTGGTTGCGGGTTTGGCGTGTGATGCTAATTAGCGCGTGAACCTCCAAGTGGGTGAATCGCTACAACGGGGACGTAGCTTGCCGGCAAGCAAGTGAACCTCGGAGAAAAATCTTGTGTCGTCTTGTTCTGAGGATTTTATTGGTATTCTTGATATTGATTGATCACTTGTCACGGCGGTAAAATTCACTCTATCATTCTCTCGTATTTACTTTGTCATATATCTTGAGTAGTGGTAGTTTGCCTAGTTGTTTAGCTAGTTTTTAGTTGTAAAATAGCCTCTAGCTAGATCACCTAGGAGTAAAGTTGTGACTTAGCCTTTGTGTGTCTAGTGATCTTAGCTAACTAGACTTGTGGATAGGTGGCTTGCAACCCTTTCTTTAGTGCTAGTGCAAAACTTGCTTAATGACATTTAGTTTACTAACCTCTTGTCTTAAGTGTTGTTGTAGAAATTTTTTATAGGCTATTCACCCTCCTCTAGTCATTTAGGACCTTTCAAACGGCTTTAAGATGGCATTACGAGATACGATGGGATGCAAGCCCCATAACATATGTACATGTGCAATTGTACACGGGTAATGTACATGTACATATTAGATGCATATGTACTACATGTACAAGCACGAGTTACTATCTACTTCATGTAGAGAATAATTAGGGCAAAATATTAACCCCACTCAATAATAGGCACAAACGCAATCTACGAGATGCGGTACTTTCATACCTTAGAGAGGATATCATCTACCTCACATGCCATGTAGGGCAATAGTTAGTAGATACATACCGCGTAGGGCGTTTGGCATTGTCATAGAACCGCCTGCTTGATGGCGACGGTGCATGTCGATGCAGTGCAGATTAGTTGCAGGCAGAGGTAGCAGATCCGTTCCGCTAACAACGTTGGGATGATGTCATCGAAGCAATCGCATCGGGAACGTTGGCGTGGATGTCAGCGTCGAGGCGGTGATGGCTTCAATGGCGATGTTGACATAGAGCTTGCCGTGCTAATAACGTGTCATAAAGCATGTTGCCATGTGATTGGACCTTTCCCTCTCTGTCTCTCATAATCAACTCTGAGTAGATGAAAGTAGAAGAACAAATAGACACAAGATAGGGAGACTATTCTTGATTACAACATAGAGCTCCCTCGTATATATATAGTCCTGTTAAGGTCTAAGAGTTTGATAAGAGCCCACATACAAACGGACTTGGATTATGATTTCTCCTTCTCCTTTTTTTTTAGATAGAGTCCGTATGTTTTACAACACTTAACATGCAATGATGGGCGACGGTGCGGCACGGCGGCGCCACGAAAAGGTAACATATAAACACGATTACACCACTACTCGATTACAATACTACTATGCAATTGTCTAATATCTACTATTATACCTCTCCTATAATTTTCGAATGAATTATGAAAACCATCCAAATATTTCATAAAAATGATATGTATATTTTTCTATATCATAAATAGATGAAGAAAACAAGCAAAGATATTTCCATGGTCGTGCTTGGATTGTCACGGCACAAAAAATGGGCTGACATGCCATGGGTGGTGCTTATGACAAAGCAAAGACTTGTCACTTTGGCACGACACTACGTGGCGTGTCTGGCTTGTCTAGAGGTCGTAACCTGAAGCGGCACGAAGCACGAGAGTAACATAAATATTCTGACCTAGGTCCCACCTCTAAAAACAAGAGGAGCCAAGCCTACTAAGAAGCTTTTTATTAAAAAGAGAAACAAGCACAAAGATAACCCCCCTGTTCCAAAATAACTGTCATTCTCGCTTCTAACTTTGATTAATTTTATATAAAAAGTTATTAATATTTATAGTACATAATTAATATCATTAGATAGATTGTTAAATCTATTTTCATAATAAATTTATTTAGATATATAAATATTATATATTTTTTTTGCAAATCTAGTCAAACGTACAAAATGAAAATAAAAAACGACGCTTATTTTTGGGACGGAGAGAGTACATAGATAGTTGGTTTGGTACTTTAATTTGTAGGGTTTGTAACGATCTTATCGTCGCAGTCCCGAACTCTTTTGCCGTATACATTACTGTAAACACGCATACTACACGTGGATGTTCAATATCATCACATCAAACGCGAGATGTAGAACCACGTTGAACACACTAAGCTACTTATATTAGTACCATATATTACCCTATAACAATTGCACAAACAAATAAATCTACTTTTTTTTACAAGTATATACATAGGAGTTACATAGGAGTAAAGATAATACCCAGATTAAATAAAAATACAAAAAATCTAGTATCAGCCTATAAAAAAATCTATTTTCTGTTTTTGTCCTCTTTCCTTTTTTTTCTCTTTTCTCTAATTTTTGTTTTTTTCTCCTTTTCTATTTTTTCTTTTCTTTTCTGCTTGCTACATAAAAAATCTAATCCAAAAACGAAAAATCACTGTAGTCCGTCGATTACTCCCTCGAAGCCAGCGGCAGCGTCCTGGGAGAGGACGTGCAATCTAAGGATCGTATGTATGCGGTAGGCGACGAGGCTCTTCGTGCCGGCGAGCCACGGCAGGTCCGCGCCGGGGCTCGGTGCGCCGAGATTGGCGGGCTTCGGCACGCCGAGGTTGGCGGAGACGCTTCTGAGGCCGACGCCGCGCAGGTCCGCTCGACCGCAGTTCTCCGCCATGAACTTGGCGTCGAACACCCGGCCGCCGAGGAGGTCCCTGACCCGCTCCATGAACCCCTGCCTCGTCTCTGGCAGCGGCTGCCCGCCGCCGAGCATCTTGACGAGGTAGGCCAGGTCGTAGGCGCCCGCCGAAGGCCACCCACGTGAGCTCGACGTTCCCGGCCCCGCGCGGCGCCGACGTCAGGATCTCAGCGAGCTTCGCGCCGAACGCCGCCGAGCTGACGCCGCGCTCGCGCGCCGCGTCGAAGTCGACGCCCTGGGAGCGGAGGAACGCCACGGACTGCGCGGCGTGGCGGTCGCGGCCGACGTCGAAGTCCGAGAAGTCCACCTCCCAGGCGCGCTCGTTACCCGGCGCGTAGTAGTAGCCGTAGTCGGGGTCGGGGACGAACAGTAGGACTACGTATAACTATTATACCACTGCATGAGTTGCTGTTGCCATGCAACTCATAATTTTAATTCTATTCTATGCATAAATTAAGTAATTGTAAATTACTACCAGACAACTTAAAAGAGAACCATTAGAATTGCGTGGCATTGCATGCATGCCCTGATCGGTGCTACGATAGATCGAGAGAGAGAACACGCGGGGACAGGGCACAGGGCACAGGGCACAGGGCACAGGGATGTCTCCCGGTGAACATGGACGTTTATTGTTTCAACAATTCTTTTGCAGATTTTTTTATTATTTTCTTTCTACCTTTTTTAGTTTTTATTCTTTCTATAATTTGTATTTATCTTTTCATGGAAAATACTGTCAATGGCTAAAGAAACATTAGTTCTAAGTCAGTGGAACCATAATAGTATTTATTGGAGTATTGCAAATGAGTAAAGGCAACATCTTTTATTTTATTAAGGTACAATTTTTTAATGAATCTTCAAACATATTTTTGTCTTGAATCTGAAATAGTTTTTACGAAGTTGGAATACTTTTCTTATAAAGCTAGAACACATTTATTCTAACATAGAACAATTTTTCTTTTAAACCTAAACAAGTTTCTTATGAACCTATTATATTGTTCCGTAAGGCCACAAACCAAGGACATTGTTCCGCTCGATAAAAAAAAATATTTCAATTTTAATAAAAATATTTTATAAGAAAATATCATCCAAATGTATCAAAGAGGGATCTTGTTTCTAAGATTTTATTGTGAAAAACACATTGGTGCATCATAGTTTCATTTGGATATATACATTGTTTAGAAACCATGACTTTTATGTCTTAAATTTCTCTTGGTACATTGGTGAGGTTGGTGGTGAATAGGGTTCATTTACTCAACCAAATGAACACCATTCCAGTATGAGCCTATGACTAATCTAAATTGGTACATAATAACTAGATCCACCACATCCGTATCGGCCACTCCGGTCAATACAAGTCATTCTGGTTATTCCATGACTAGTGTCAAAACTCTAAGTTACACCCTATTTGACGTGCAATTTTGTAAACTTGTTGAACCACATATCGTAAAATTAGGCTAAAAATGATGTAGTAGTCCTGTCTTGTTTCTAGAATACGCAAAAGGTTTACGTATCTTTTTATATTAAGATCGAGAAATAGTGACAGTTACAACGACGCGCCACGAACATGGCACACTAAGGGGTTAATGTTATATAATCAGCTCTGCCCTCCCTAGTAGAAAGAAATCATGGCTATTACTCGCTAATCATGCTACCTAGCCAGCATCGGCGGTCAGACGCGCTAGCTAGCGAGGCGCCTCGGTCGCTCTCCTTGTGAGATCTGTCATGTCTTCAATTTAATTCGGGTCACTCTTTGAAACTGCAAGCATTCAAAACTTCGACTACATGTTTCAAAATTATCCCATGTGGTATCTAGGTTAAAAATTACCTTGGTGACGAGTACCTGTTCCCCGGCCGGGTACCCTTACCAACCGGAGATCTTGGTCGTAGCTGCCCCAAGCGCCATCAGAACAAGACTCAAGCAAATGATTGGACCTAAGGGCATCAAAACAAGACTCAAGCAACTGGAGACTCAGGTGTTTCAATCTTGCAATGCTCGGGAAGCAAGGGTGGCGCCTCATCACTAGACCGGACTCCTTATGTACCAAGGTGTTGGAAGGAAGATACTTCCATGACAGAGTTTATGCGGGCAGCCAGGAAAAGACATGCCAGCAGCACATGGAGGGCTATTTTAGCAGGTCGTGAAGCTTTGCAACATGGCCTGATTAGAAGAGTGGTCCATGGAGAGACTACTGAGATTTGGGGGGATCGGTGGATTTCGGATCATTTTGGAGCATAGCCGATCACCCCTAGAGAAGAGGAGCACCCGGTCCTGGTTTCTGAATTGATGATGCAGAATGGAACATGGGACGAGCAGCTGCTCTGGGATCAGTTCCTTCCAATTGATGTGGCGGCGATTTTGCGACAGCCGCTTGGATGGGGTGCGGCAGATTTCTGGGCATGGAACCTTGAGAAATTTGGTATGTACACAGTTCGATCAGCTTATAAGCTCCTTCACCAAAGGAAATCTGAAACTCTTGTTGCCCAACAACCAAGTACTTCTGGTGATGATTTCTGGAAGAGGGTGTGGAAACTTGATGTCCCGCCCAAAGTAAGAGTTTTTTGGTGGAGGGTTTTGAACGAGTTCTTGCCAACACGGCAAGCACTAGTATCGTTTTGTGAAGTGTGTGGTGATCCAGAGGAATCAATTAAGCATGTTCTTCTAGACTGCACGGTAGCCAAGCGCTTTTGGGAGCAGACCAGAATGGCAACCGGAGTGAAGGTACCAAATCTGAATGTGGTTACGTGGGCTGTTGACCTGATGTCGGATTTATGCCCGCGACGTGATCAGGCTGTCATTATGTGTGGCATGTGGGCTTTGTGGATGATGCGCAATAAGCGATGACATGGCGAGCTCTCAATGCCGATTCACCAGGCGGTACTATGGGCAAGGGATACGTCCTATGATCTATGGCAATTGGGTCACCAATCTGGTCAGCAAGCGACCAGGAAGGAACCGCCTAGGTGGAAGAGGCCGGCGACGGATTATCTGAAGATCAACACGGATGCGGCGTTTTCTGATGAAAGCAAAGGAGTGACCGCGTGTATCATCAGAGACCATCGTGGTGCCTTCTTTGCTGCACAAGCGATGTGGTATGACACGGGCTATGATGCATGTGCACTGGAGGCAATGGCCTGCAGGGATGGCTTGAAGTGTGCGAAGCACTTGGGTGTGCAGTGAGTGGAGCTGGAAATTGACTGCCTTCAGTTGGTGGAAATGTGGAACAAGAAGGACGTCCATCGCTCGATTGTTGACCCGGTTCTAAAGGAGATTGATGAACTTCGTCTTGCCTTTCAGGATTTCTCTTTTTCTTATGTTAGTAGATTGTAATAAAGTAGCGCATACTTTAGCTAGACAGGTTTCAAGTGTACACCGCTCGGAGACGTGGCATGTAACTCCGACGTGTGAGTATGACCAGGTCATGTTGGCTGATAATGAAAGGCAAGTCAAGTCAAAAAAAAAATGGAGGGGGGGGCATCCAAGATTGATAGACGGACTCCGCCACGGCTCTAGACTCAGGGCCTGCGCCCCAGCACATAGTCAGGCACATTCCCGACTAGCTGGGCACTCGGACGAAGCATGCTGACTCTAAGCTGGGGATGCTAGGGCCTGGTGCCTCAGTTAGGGAACACCCCGAGTAGACACGTGGTCACCTAACCCAGTAGTCGACAGGGATTGGTCGTTGTATGAAACCAACATGGCTTACACATGCAATGAAATGAGTGATTGACTATAATTCTTCTTTTCTCCAATCGACAAGTCCTATAACCAGTACACTAAACACTTGTATGCTTTTTTTTCCAATCGAAGTTCTATTAGTCTGTACATTAATTAACCACTAATTCTATGCCAGCATCAGACATCACCCGTATCTTCTCCCAGAAATTCAAGGCCTTACTGACCTGCCCAGCAACAAAGGCCATGAAAATGCTCCAAATGTAACCACATCTGGAGTATGCCTTCGCAACCATTGCTTCTCTGATGAAGCCATGAATCAAACGGAGTATGTGGATAAACTCATTTGGTAATAATTCCCTCAACACAATTATCCAGACTCACATGAGTCTACAAGGATGGCAAGCTACCTATAAAAAACCCCTGCACTACCATACTGCCATTACATCATCAGCGCTACTTACACCATTCTTATCAAACTACAACTCACATAACATAATAACCCATGCACAAAGCAGCATGACACCTTCCCAAAACAGGAAAAAAAAAGTCGCCAGCTACCTAGTTTCACTTGAATTATCGCCACTATACAGCAACCAGCGTAGATACTCCACTCCATCATCCAACAATGAAGCCTCGCCAGGGATAGTCACCCTCTTGCGTGTCAATGTTTCCACTGTCAACGCTTTCCTCTTTCGTCCACCTCTTGGCCGGGCACGCAACTGCTCATCCATCTCCTCAAAGTCTCCCTGCATGAAGCAACTTGTTATCCACAAGTTCACATGGTTTGATCACAAAACAAAAGCGAACATATGCTTCAATCAAAGATACACACAAATCAGGAGCTGATAATTTGATCTAATACGCCAAAAACACAAACTTGGGATTAATATAGGTCAGGTAGCAGAACTCACTTCAATGTATACATGAGCACCGGATTTCTCATGGTTGTCCCTGACATGCTTGTAGGTGAACGCCTTGCCACACCCGGCAATTTGGCACTTGAAAGGTTTAAGCTGGTCATGGCATGCCTTGACATGCTTGGTCAAATTTGATTTCTGCAACAGAAAACAGGACTATGCTTGGTTAAAGAACTCATTGGAAAATATCACTAGGCGCATTTGGAAATCTATCAGTCTTGCTTACATTGGAAAAGGAGTGTTCACAACCCTCAAAAGTGCATTTCATCCTTTCACCAGAGGGCACCTTGTCATGGGATTGCAGGTGCCGCTTGATGTTCTTCTTCAGGTACTTTTCTCCACATATCTCACACTGAACATACCGATGGCAAGATTGGTTATGAGCCCTCAGATATTCAACATTTGTAAACATCTTCATGCAGCCTGGTTCACCGCACAATACCTCCACATAGTCCAATTTAACTGCAAGAAAAAAAACTCAAATTTTGAGATCCCATTCGCTGGAGAAGGGAAAACACGTTACATGAACATGATGCAAATAACAATAAATAGTGCATTTATTAATTTCCTAATTGTCTCGTAACTCTGACCTACCATGGGATTCCTCATGTTTCTTCAGCTTTGATGAATACTTGAAAACCTTGTTGCAGCCCTCCTCCTTGCAAATAAACTGCTGGTTGCTCTTACAAACATTTTCATCCTCATGGATTTCCTTAACATGCCGTTGCATATTTGCCTTCATACTGAACCTCCTATCACAACCATCCACAGTGCAACTAAACAATTTGCCCTCATGCTTAAGCATGTGCCGGTTCAAATGATCTTTCCTTTTATAGCTGAAGGGGCAGTCTTCAAGTGGGCAAATAAAGAGTCTCTACAGTCAAACAATAATGTGTTAAGACCAAAATATTTATAATGATGTTTGTTTAACATTGTGCTAGATGCTTCAAATAAATAACCAATCGATTATCAGAACTAAGAATTATAAACACTGTACTGGATCATGTTCAGAAGGACCTATAAAGGAGATCATTTTTGTGTAATAATTAATCAAATGTGGCATTTGTTAAAATCAAATGTGGCATTTGTTAAAAGTGAGTTTTAGGACAAATGTTATGACACATAATTGAAGAAAAGCTGCTTAAATAAAAAGGGAAAAGCATACACTTTTGAACTATGAAACTATAACAAAGGAAAGAAAAACTAAATGTCAAAGCTCTACAACAAACTATAACGAGTTCAGCACTTCTATTCAGTACATCTGTTATTGCACAATGACAGGATACAGGACTATTGTCACCATAGCGAGCTAAAAACCAATGAAGAATGGCCATGGCTTTCTGAGATGACATTTTGATATTGGATCCTAAAGCATCTTCTGAAACCTCACATAAGGAAGTCCGCGATGACATGGCAGAATGGAGGGAGGATATTTCCACCCTTATCTCCAAAAGATCCATAACCCATAATAAAATCCTTACAGCATTATAACAAGTTCAGCACTTCGCTTCATCACATTTTTTTTCTTGCATAACGACAGGGTTTAGGACTATTGTCACCATAGCGAGCTGAGAACCAATGAAGAATGGGCCTAGCTTTCTGAGATGACATTTTGATATTGGATCCTCAAGCATTATATCAAAGCTCCCATAAGGAAGCCCATGGAGACATGGCAGAATGAAGGGAGGATATTTTCAGCCTTATCTCCAGGATCCATACCCATCTAATCCTCACAGCACTAAAGAAAACTAGAGGTAAAGGAACTTATAAACTGAAGCCCAAGCTTTCTGAAATATTTTGATGTTTGATCACCAGATTGACACAAAAGGCCCCAAAGTCAGAAGCCCAAAGAAATAAATAGAGAACAGAAAACTCCAAAATTAACTGAATTGACCAGGCAAAATACAAATTAGCACTGAAAACAATCATGTATATCATGAAATGCATAATTTAGACTATGAACATCATGATAAAATAGGGAACTTTGTACAAGGACAAACCTACTCAGTAAGCGTGACTGAGGCGATCTTGTTGAAGCTTCACAGGTGGTCATCCCAACCTGTTACTAGTTCACACAAGAGTAAAAAAATGCCTCGTCGCATTTTGGAGTTCTTTAAATGGGATCCAATGCTTCACGCTGTTAACTATCTATGCCCTGCAAAACAATTGTATTTAGCAAATCATATAGGGGGGAAAATCAATATTACAGCCAGCCTCATAAGTCATGAATGTAAACCATATGTTAAAATCATGTCTGTATACTTTACAACTGAAATGTAACACATCTAGGTGGCCAGTGCCAATAAAATAAAAAGAGCCAGCTCATGCTAAATTCGAGATGATGAATACCAACCTCATGTGAGTGACTTTGCATGTGCTGCTTCAGATGAGCTGGTTTCTGGAAACAAGAGCCACACTCTTGGCACCTATGTTCCTCCTCGTGAACAATATTTTCCCCATTTGAGTTGTATATTTCTGATTTATCCAGTTCATCCTGCAGATAAATTTTGGGAAAACATTAGAGATGCTATGTATTACTCCAAAACAACAATAATACAAAGACAGCTCATAGCCATGTAATCAAACAAGATATATATTGACTAATGCAACTATACATCACAGAATGTTTATACCTTATGATGTGCAACCATGTGAGCTTGAATTAGGCATTTCTTTGACCTGACAACAGTGCAAAATTCACATTTGTAACGCCTTATATCCTTACAACCCTTCTGTCCAACACTTGCATCTCTGTCAACATCAACTTCAGAACACATCTGACAATGAGCAAATCACAATTAATTTTTTTTCATGGATCATCATGTATCATACTGTAGGGACGGACCATTTCCAGAAATTAAAATACAATGCAATAAAATAGATAAAAAAGTATGATAAAAAATCTTGCTATTTAGAAGAAATTTCTCTGTAATCCAGCATTTGGATTTTAAAACCTTTAGTAAGTTTCTATAACTTCCTGACTGGTGAAAGTAAAACCAACCTCAACATATATCTAATAATTTCTTACCACCAACTTACAGCAGTGAATTTCTACACTATAATCTTGATCTAGAGACACTGGGAGATAAAAGAAGACCAATAAGACATAAATTACAATGAGGTCATCAAATTTGATTTAGGCACTAAAAGGCTATTTCGTGGAAAGACTCATGCGAATCAATCATGCAACAAATGAGCAGTATATGATTCTATGATTTCTTCATCAACAAAGATTGGTGAACCATGTTGTTCCCATGAGGATGATCTGAGATGTGTCTTGAGCTGCCTAGTCATGTATTCCAAGGTTTCATAAATTTCCCTTCGAGCATCATGTGACGTGTCCTCTACCAAGAATTCATGGACAACACCATCAATTTCTATCCAACTACACCCTGGTTTTTTGAAGATCTTATGAGTCAACATTTGCTGCCTCATCTCTCGAGCTTCTCTCCATTTATTTGATGACGCATACATGTTCCAAAGAAGCACATAAACCCCATCATCCCCAGGTTCTCTCTTTATAATTTCCTTTCCAGCAATCTCAGCTAGTCTATAATTGCCACGAACTAGACATGCACTAAGAAGTGACCTCCATATAACAATATCAGGCTCCACATTCATATCAGCTATTAGAGCTTCTGCTTCCTCTAGTAGTCCTCCCCGTCCTAACAGATCAATCATGCAACCATAGTGCTCAAGCAGGGGATCAATTTTGTATACTTGACGCATTCTGTCGAACAACTCTCTGCCTTCTTCTATCAAGCCAGCATGGCTGCATGCTGACAAAACAGAAACAAAGGTTACACTGTTTGGAACTACCCCAGCTCTAAGCATATTCCGAAAGAGCTCAAGAGCTTTCTTCCCATCGCCCTGGACTGTACAACATGAGATCATAGTTGTCCATGTAAAAGAATCCTTTGATTGAACTTCTTGGAACACAGAAAATGCCATCTCAATGCATCCACTCTTTGCATACATATCCATCAGAGCATTGCTAACAATTATATTCGAGTTGGCATTACATTTGCTTCCATATCCATGAATGACACGTCCTAGATCCAGAGCACCAATGTCAGCACAAGCTGAGAGTACACCTACAATTGTGACATGATTAGTAGGGCGATGGCCCTCCAGTACCATCCTACCAAAAAGCTCTAGAGCCCGTACAGGCTGCCTGCCCTGTACATGACCAGTGATCAGTGCTGTCCAAGCAACTACGCTCCTCACAGGAACCTGATCAAAGAACGACAATGCTGAATCCACACCAGCACACTTGATATAACCATGCAGCATGCTACCCCAGGTGACCTCATCTTTCAGAGACATTCTATCGAACACCTTCACCGCAGACTCAAACTTCCCACACTGGCTATACATATCGATCAATGCATTGCCCACGACCACCTCATGATCCAATCCAAGCCGGAAAATGAGGCCATGCACCGCCCTACCGACCACTTGATCACCAGCACCACTAGAGGCCGACAGGGCACCAACAACAGCAAAGCCATCAGGGCGGTGGCCAGCGGCAACAACACGAGCAAACAAGGATATAGCTTCACGTTGGTGATCCAACTGGAGATGGAGGGACATGAGGCTAGTGAAGGAGATAAGGTCAGGGTGGGGGATCTCATCGAACAGCTTGCGGGCATCAGCTACGCGTCCGAAATCAGCGTAGCAGCGGAAGATTTTGCAGGAAACAGACTGATGGTTGGGGTGGAGACCATGGGTAACGGCCAGGGCGTGGATCCTCTGGAGCTCTCTTAGCTTTTTGCACTGGGCAAGGAGGTGGTGGCAAACGCTTCTATTCATGTATCTTCCCCTCGAGGCAACGAAATCTGTGGAGGTTTGCGTTCCTTGATGCCTCGAATGTTGACACCTGGAATTATAGCTGAAATTACTGGGAAAACAGCAACAGCTACAAAGCGACCTAGTGGACTTATAGTAGTAATAAAGACTATTCGCAGCTTATTCATCGTTGTTTTGCTTCCCACAACAAATTCTAATCGCAGGTATTCAACGACTCAAATTAAACTAGCATTGCCAGAAAAGGGCACCCGTTGATGGAAAAAAGCATGTACACTACAAATGGCCGAATAGCCCAGGTTCAGGGTTTGGGAGGCCTGTTTCGCACATCACAGAGACGGAAAAGAAGGGGTGGGCATACCTTGAGGAGTTGAGGGTGCTCGTCGCCGCCCGCTAGGGATGGGGCCCGGGGCCGTGCGGCGTGCGTCCCAGCGGGCGTGCCGCGAGCGCCGAGCGGGGACGCGCCGACGGGGAGGGTCGTGCGGTTGGGGGGACGGGGAAGAGAGCTGGCTGTGCAGTGTGCGCCGCCGCACCCGTGGTGTCTGAGGGCGTGCGGCTGCGGGAGTACTGAGCTGCGGGGGCTGAGTGGCTTGGCTTTTAAATACCTAGGGTTCCACCGTGCATTGGGCTGCTGCTTGGTGGGCTCAAACATCAGCTGAAACTGATGTTGGGCCATTAATTTCGGGGGCCCGTGGGGCGTACTAGCAACCTATACTTTTCTACACCTTCCCAGCTTTGTTCGTGCTTTGGGTGACCGGGGAGCGTCAGCCACAAACTTGATCGCTTTTGGGTGACGATGGGGTGTACTTGCAATGTTTCGTACGGACGTTGTAAAAATAGGTTGGAATCTTACGTAGACTAAGATGTTCTAGAGAAGGGTGAATTACGCTAATTTTAATTTTTTTAATAATTAAACTCTACATTTAGCTAATTTCATCCATTGTGTCTAAAATGTGTTTCTATTATTCTCCCGTATAAAAGTTTTACATCATATGTTTCAATTCTACTCTAGCATGGCAATTCTACGAATGTAAAGATATGAAATGAATTGCTCAAATGTAAATGATTGAAGTAAAGAGAGGGAAAGGAACACGACTTTTTTTTCCAAGGTATCGGAGAGTCGCCACTCCCCACCAGTCCTCGTTGGAGCACCCGCGTAAGGGTGTAGCTCCCCCTTGATCCACGCAAGGATTAAGTGCTCTCTATGGGCTGATTCTTTGACACTCCGTCACGGTGAATCGCCCACAACCGCTCACAAAAATTGACTTGGGTCATTCACAAGCTCCGTCTGGATGATCACCAAGCTCCTAATCACCACCGAGTCGTCTTGGTGATGGCGATCACCAAGAGTAACAAGCACAAACTCTCACTTGACTAAGACAAGCCTAATGAGTAAGGTGGATGCACACTTGCTACTCCCTATGCACTAATGAGGTCCTTAATCTTGGATTATCAAATCCCAATCATCTCACTAGGCTCTTGCTGTCCCTTGCACTTCAAAGGTATTTCTCAGCTGAACAAATAGGCAAGAGATCTCCCATGGATGAGTGGAGTAAGTATTTATACCCCATCATTCAAAACATAACATTTGGAGGCTGAGTCATCACTCTGCAGGCTGACCGGACGCTCCGGTCAGTTGTGCCCATCACTATATTAGAGAGAGCTGTTAAGCTCTGACCGGACTCTGACCAGTCGGTCAGCACCCACCGGACGCGTCCGGTCAAGAAAAAACCTCTCTAGAGTGGACCGGACATAGACACCCCAGCGTCCGGTACGGTGCTCCTCCACTCAGCGTCCGGTTAGTACCAGGCGACTGTAGTTGATCAAATGAACTGACCGGACTCATCCTCCAGCGTCCGGTCACAACCACGACGAAGACGAGGAGGACAATACTTGATCCGTTTGAAGCTGCAATGCTGAGAGAGAGATAGAGCTGAAGTAGAGGAGCAAACGGTGGTAGCAGCACCGGCTACGCTCCAAGACGATGACGATGACTTCTTGGCCAAGGTCATGGAGGATACACTGTCAGCCAAAGCAGAGGAGCCGACGGTGGAGTCCACTGCTGCGCTCGAATTTGACGTCGACGCGTTCTTCAACTTCTCTGAGGACGCGTTCTTCAACTTCTCTGAAGAAGGTTTGCTCGAGTCTGTTAGGCTGGTATAAAAACCGACTGATAAGCTAACTGAAGCTGTTTTATTGTGAGAGAAAAATATTGTATATTCTAACTAATAAGTTCAAGCGAACATGCCCTGCCTGCCACAAGCTGACCATGTCATCAATTCAAGGGTATCCAGTTACATTGCAGCTGCCCAAGAGCTCCAGAAGAAGATATACGTCATGTTCGCTGGTTGGTTTATAGGCTGGTTTGAGCTGGCTGGTCTGCTGGTTTGTTGTGAGAGAAAAACACCGTTGACTGATTGAATAAACCTGACTCAAACCAACAAGCAAACAAGATGATAGAGTCGTAGTAGGTCGCAACGCTTGTAAACTCTTATGTATACTGACTTTTGGGAGGAAGAAAGAATTCTCCTGCCAAATCTTAATGTATGACGTGACATCAACCAGTGTTGAGCTAGCACAAGAACTGCTGTTGTTGTTGCATTTTTTTATATATGTATTCGCAAGCTCTAAGCCCTAAATATTTCTGTTGCCAAGTTTCTGTGGTCTGCTGAACTGTCAGTAACAAAAACAAATAACAAAGGTGGATACATCAATATTGTTTTTCAAAAGTGAAGCCTACAAAAAAGGGTAAATCCTCAGAACCACTGTATCAAGCACCCTAAATTAATGCATTATAGTTCTCAGGAAAAAAGGCACTGCATTTTGAGACAATAGATGGTACTAAAAGCACATATGAATAATAACAATAGTTACCGCGCGCCAATTCAATTTCCATCTCTATTGTTGTATCCTTTGGGCCAGCTGTGTCGTTGGAAGCAAATAGTGAGATCAGGAACAGAGCACATCCTGTCACAAAATTGACATGCGAGCAATTCTCAAACAAGGATGGAAATGGAATGCATTTTCTTGCATGCAACAAGAAAATACTTTACCCATAGAGTATGGGGAAATGTGTATTTTTTTTGCAAACAAGGATCACCGTTACGTACTGAGTGTGGAAGAAGTTTTTATGAGACATACGTGACATGGGTCTCGGTTCTCTTCTCTCCATCAGAATTTCTGGCCGGGTTTATTGCAGAACCAGATGCGTTCATTCCTCTTGCAAACCTGACTTTGGTCCCATCTTCCAAATACTTATATCCACAACCTAATATGGTTCCTGTGGTAAACATTGTTTTGAGTGTTGACAAATTATTTTTATAAACATAGAAGTGAAGAAAAACAATGTCTTCGTAGGTAGTAACACATGGCGCTGATTATCATATACGTACCCAGTGACAGGATCAACTACTTGGGCACTTGAAACATGCTGTGAGCAGCTTCAATCGAGAAACTACCACCGTGTGCCCTTCCCCTTGCTTAATGTGTTTCTTAACCTGAAAAGATGATAGCACAATTATTTATGTAGTTACTGAGAAATGACAAGGCACAAGACAATGAAAATGATGTTTCCCCTTTGCTGGTTGCAGTTTGCACTTAGCAGTACCCAAGAACAGACAAGCAAATCTGCAACATATTTTAAGTAAGTAAATATATAAAAAAAATTCCCCAAGACAAATCAATTGGCTACAAAGCTATAAGCTAATTCAGCTGCTGAGCATCCATTGACTATCGAGAAAATACCGCCGCCTTCCATCCTATCATTCAGTTTCTACAAGTCAAACTCATAGCAGTACATGTAGCCTTCCATCTGTAGGAATGGATGACCACTTGGATCGATCTGTGGCTCACGGCTGTACTGCTTGGATTCCTCTCCCTGTACAAGCCTACAGCCGTGAGCCCCAAGATCGATCAAACGTGTTCATCTCCCAGTTTCTAAGAAAGATTGCTTCAGCGTCGGTTACACTGCACTTGAAAGTCCCAGCAGCTAAAAAGTCCCCCTTTTGAGTCTCATGTCAGCATCCTCTGATCTCATCATTAAGTTCAGCAGTCTCCTGTCACTAGACCTTCAGCTTCAGCAGCCATCATGTGTTTCTTTCTTTGCATTGCACAAATTCCCAACATGCATGAGCATTACATTAACAGAAATTTAAGAGTATAATTCAGCTTGGACACTGAAGGTCTAGCATAGTATCTCCGGGTTTCAGGCTACTTGGTCAGCAATTGAAGCAGAGCGTACGTAAAGCGTAAAGGGTCCATGACTCCATCCATTCCGTGCAGCTTCAGCTTCACCAAGCAAAGCAAGTGTCCGAGTGAGCGAGTGACACACACCCACTGAGCTTAAATGTCAACGCGCGAAGCGATGCATCTCCAACATTTCCGAACACAACAGGCCACCAACACAGCCATCGCGATGGGCGCCGGCGACGACACCAAGCCCGCTGCCATGGAGGTGACCTCGTCGCCGTCGTCGTCCCCCACCCCGGCGCCACCACCACCACCACCGCCATCGGTGCTACGGTCCGTGCTGCTGTCGTACGCGTACGTGGGGATCTGGATGAGCCTGAGCTTCGCAGTGATCGTGTACAACAAGTACATCCTAGACCCCAAGCTCTACAACTGGCCGTTCCCGATCTCGCTCACCATGATCCACATGGCGTTCTGCGCGTCGCTCGCCTTCTTGCTCGTCCGCGTCCTCCGCGTCGTCGACGTCCCGTCGCCCCCTCAGCAGGCCATGACGCCGCGCCTCTACGCGTCCTCCGTGCTCCCGATCGGCGCGCTCTACGCGCTGTCGCTCTGGTTCTCCAACTCCGCCTACATCTACCTCTCCGTCTCCTTCATCCAGATGCTCAAGGCGCTGATGCCGGTCGCCGTCTACTCCCTCGCCGTCAACCTCCGCACCGACGCCTTCCGCCGCGCCACGCTGCTCAACATGCTCGCCATCTCCGCGGGCGTCGCCGTCGCCGCCTACGGCGAGGCCCGCTTCGACGTGTTCGGCGTCGCGCTGCAGCTGCTCGCCGTCGCCGCCGAGGCCACCCGCCTCGTGCTCATCCAGATCCTGCTCACCTCCAAGGGAGTGTCGCTCAACCCCATCACCTCGCTCTACTACGTCGCGCCATGCTGCCTCGTCTTCCTCACCATCCCGTGGTACGCCATCGAGCTTCCCCGGCTGCGCGCCGCCGCCGCCGGGGGGCGGCTCGCCAGCCCCGACGTGTTCGTCTTCGGCACCAACTCCCTCTGTGCATTCGCGCTCAACCTCGCCGTTTTCCTGCTGGTGGGCAAGACCTCCGCGCTCACCATGAACGTCGCCGGCGTCGTCAAAGACTGGCTGCTCATCGCCTTCTCGTGGACGGTCATCAAGGACACCGTCACGCCCGTGAACCTCGTCGGCTACGGCATCGCCTTCCTCGGCGTCGCCTACTACAACCACGCCAAGCTCCAGGCGCTCAAGGCCAAGGAGGCCGAGAGGAAGGCGGCCGCCACAGCGGTGACCAAGCCGGACGATGACACGGAGGCAGGTGCGCGGCTGCTGCCGCCGGACAACAAGGACGGCGCCGGCGACGGTGGTCACCACAAAAACTGATGCACGCGGTCCATGAGTATTGGATATGTTGTACGGACTTCAACGTTTGCTCTCTTTTCGGTATAGGATTTCTTGAAACTTAACTCCTGATCAGATTTGATGCTGTTTATTACGATTTCGAATTCTTCAATCAATAATACAGGAAATGCAAAAGGATAAAGTGAGATGTATTTGCAAGGATTTTTGTGGTGACAAACAGTAGCACATGTTATTTTTTTCGTATTCGTGGTTTCTCTGATCAAAGACTGGTTATTGTAGGCAACAAATTAAAGTATTCCCGGTCTTTGTTTTTTATATTCGTTTCTTGACCTATATATAGGCCACCACCCACCAGTTTTGGTGTTTTGTACTGTGCTCCCCTTTATGATTCCTGGTGAAAATGTTGGCAATAATTCAAGCTAGCTAGTCACATGCTACAAAATCTTTAGGTTTACTCAAAGTGACACAAGGGGAAAGAGAAACAAAAAGAGGAGTCGTTAGGTTCACTCAAGTTTCTTTAGCTTCACTTAAAGCTCGGTCAAGAAGTGTCCAACAATGGCGTCACAAAAAAACTAAAGTATCATGTACGGAGTTGAATTTGTGTCCATTATTTTTATGTGCCATTATTTATTAGTTTAAGTTGGCAGCACGGGCTCTGCCAATAATTGATCAACTAATTATAGAAGAAAAGAGTGTACGTTGTACCTGATAGATTTTCAGAGTGTAATCTACCATTCCATCACCAATGACGACATTAAACTGGAGACCAGCTGGCTGGTCACACCCCACACGTCACTATTAGGGCTTGTTTAGTACGTAATTTGATGCCGGTACTCTCTTAATGACAAACGTGCTATTAACATGGTCGCTAAGAAAAAAAGTAATTTGATGCGACAAGTGGCCGTATGTAGGCATGCACCAAAGCCGTGGCATGCCTAAGTCATGGCAATATAAAGTTATCTGAATGGTTAACTAACAGAGCTCTTTTACAGTGGTTGGGAATCAGTCATCTTCAACCTATCCTAAACATAAATCTATGGTGAAAAATCCTTGGATCCATGCCTGCACCCGACTGAACACAGCGCAATGATCTCCGTCCAATCGAACTCGGGAACACTCAAATCCGACCTCCACCTGACTTAAACCCTAATCCACCCTGAACCAAATTCTAGAACCTGAATGCACTCTAAAAACTCGACCTTTTCGCATGCAAATCCAGTAGCACAAAGAGAGGAACAAGATTAATTTGGATCGACACCTTCCGGAGGGCTGTGGTGACCTCGCCGCGGGTGACCTCGATCGGGCCACAAACTAGTTGGACACGATCAGACACTCGATGTGGGGGGTACAACCCCATATACCCACGGCAGACCACATGGGCTGCTCTCCAGGGGCGGCTCAGCCCACAAGACGAAGCCTTGCGGGGCACGGCGCTGCTCGGCGCGTCCCGCAAGACACCGGGAAGATATCCTGAAGATACTACGAGATTTATTAGGATACATATGATCCCATGATTCCTGTAATCTGTTATTACTTTTCGGTTATCTCCTAGATCTAACCGACTTGTAACCCTACCCCCCAGACTATATAAGGCGGACAGGGACCCCCTCCAAACACACACAATATTATACGATAGCCAATACAATCCAACAGACCATAGGAGTAGGGTATTACGTCACGCCGACAGCCCGAACCTGTTTAACTCTTGTGTCTCTGTTGCCTTCTTGTTCTCGATTACACGCATCTCTGCCGATCAATCTACCTTCGTGGGATACCCCTCGGAGGACTGCCGGCGATATTCTATCGACAGTTGGCGTGCCAGGTAGGGGTGTGTGTGTTGTTTCCATGTCGAACAAGATGGTGCATTTTGCAGGCTCTTTGTCCCTCCCATAGCCTGGCCAGATCTTCATGGTCGGATCGATCTCCTGGATCATCAACGCTGACGGAGTCAGAGAGCTCATCGAGCCGATGCAGATCAATACTGCGCCGAACATCCCAACATCTGCAACTGCAGATCTGATCTCGGAACCACCTCTGAGGTCACCTTCACCGACAATTCGCCGCCCGCTCCCTCGCTACCCGAGAAGGCAAATCAACAACGACGATCGAATCACATCCATCAATCAGGTTGGCCAGAAGCTCGCTGATTGCCTCTCCATCGCAGAATCGGCTCTGACTACTCTAGTTCAGCGCCGATCACCCTCTGATCTAGATCTATCAGAGGCTGATCAGGAAACTCCAGGGGTTTTGGCCCTACCCTTTGGGCTCACCAGCATCGCCGCCACCTATCAAGATGCTCTAAGGGGCAAGTTCGCCGACCAGGTTGGAGATATCCATCCTCTCGACGACTAGATCGCCGACTAGCTCTCGTCGGCTGTCAACATGCTACACGACGGCCGACGCCCCAAAGCATCCCTCCAAACCATCCTGGAGGAAAATCCAGACTCCGAGTCCTAGGGCTCTATGGACACTGTCGCCGAAACCACCGCCGTACAACCTCCTTTCCCTCCCTTCCGCGGAGGCAAAATTTTCAACGTCAGCGTCGACAGCCCCCCACGGGAAGGGGAAACCGAGGAGGACCGCGCCGCCCGCGTCAACAGGAACATCAATCATGCACAGCGCTGAGCAAACGAAGCTGCCCTTGTGCTAGCCGAGGCTGTTTGCAATGATCAGCTTGACTCGCAAGGAAGGCTACGCCAACTCCAACGCAACCTCGATGATGAATTTGTCCGTGTTGACGGCCATGACGTCTACAAGACCCCAAGCACCAACTTAGCTGTGGCTACCAACGAGCTTGCCCGGCTCCCATAGACACCGGAGGTCACCAAGGTCGCCGCCATGCTTAAAGCGGCGCACTGCCAGGTCAACGAGATTCGCTAGGATCAGAGACCTTCCTACTCGACGAGCTTGATTTGCCGATTAGCTGCGCCAAGATCTAATCGTCGCCCCAGCAGAAATCATTTCGCCGACCAGCACTGCGATGATGGACAACCTCTCCAGAGGGGAGCTAGGGGCAACTGTGTTGACCACCCTCGCCAACACGACCAAGAAGTCGACCAAGACGTCCGAGCGCACCTCAACAATCTCCGAGATGCGCGGCGACATATCAACGAGCGCTGTTTTTCTTGCCATGAAGAAGAAGTACGCCACCGTCAAGAATACGAGCAAAAGTTCGATAATCTAGACTCAACCCTCCAGCCACTCAACGTCGGCAATGCGACAGATCACAATGGCGATGATCCCGAAGGGCCCCGAGCATTCACAAGGGCACTCCGGACACTCCAGTGGCCCTGTGGTTTCTAAATCACCGGGGTCGAGCCCTACGAAGGACGGATGAACCCCACACAGTGGCTACAAGCTTATGCCACTGCTGTGCGCGCCGCTGGGGGAGATACCAGTGTCATGACGAACTACCTTCCCGTCATGCTCATGCCAACTGCGATGAACTAGTTCACAAGCCTTGCCCCGAACTCCATCAGATCCTGGGAAGAGCTGAAGAAGGTCTTCACCAACAACTACATGGCTATGTGCACTCGGCCGGGCACCAAGCATGATCTGAACCACATCTACCAGAAGCCATCCTAGCGCCTCCAAAGCTACATTAGATGCTTTTCGAAGATGAGGAATTCTATTCCTAATATCACAGAAGTTGAGGTCATCACCGCCTTCGTCCGATGACTCCATCACCGCGACCTCCGCTCTAAGTTCAATCGCAAGCCGCCTAAGGGGATCGGCGAGATGATAACAGCCATCGATCAGTACGCTGATGCCGAAGAGGCTGAAGTACACTTCAACGAGGATGCGGGCACTCATCGCCCAACTCACCATAGCGACGAGCGACTCGATGACCGGCGCCACAACGACCGCCGCTACGACGACCACAGTCACCATCGGGTCAGTGGCCATGATTGGCTAGAAGGATCCAAATCTGGTTAGTATCGCCGCCATTGATGAACCTCGCGCCAAGTGCAACTATGATGAGTAGTACAAGAAGATCCTTGGAGGCCTGTGCCCTCTCCACAAAAATAGCAAGCATAAGATGAAGGACTGCCTCGGCTTGGCTAAGGAATTCCAGGCTAAGAAGCCAGACGATGACAACAACGATGGAGTCAGAGGCCGCCGACCACCTGGGGGCAACAACAACGCCTTCCAGGATCATGATAAAGTGGTGTCCACCATCTTTGGGGGCCTCGCCGCCGCTGAGAGCAGAAGAGATCAGAAGCTCATCGCCCGCCCGGTGCTCGTCGTCAACATGGAAGAGCCGTCGCCAACCCCAGCTATCGCCCCTGGTCTGAGGTCCCCATTACCTTCAGCAGGGCCGACCAGTGGGCAGACATCCCTTACACATGGCGTTTCCCCCAAGCCCTTGATGCAACCATCCAAAAAGTGCTTTTTAGAAAAGTGCTCATCGACGGTGGGAGCGCTCTGAACCTCCTCTTCGCCACAGCCCTAAAGGAGCAGGGCCTTGGGATAGGAGATCTCACACCCTCAGACTCCTTCTGGGGTGTGGTACCTGGCAGGGCATCCAAACCGCTTGGAGAGATCACCCTCCCAGTACAGTTCGGCACGGCTAGCAACTACCGCGTCGAGCACATCAACTTCTACGTCGCCGACTTCAACACATCCTACCATGCCATACTTTGTCGGCCAGCTCTGGCCAAGTTCATGGCCATACCGCACTATGCCTATCTGGTGTTGAAGATGCCTTCGCCTACAGGAGTCCTGGCCCTGTGGGCCAACCTCTCCATTGCCTACGCCTGTGAGACAAAAAGTCTCGCCCTTGCCGAAGCCACCGACCTCTCCATCCAGATCGCTAGCGTGGTCACCGACACCAAGACGGCGCCCGTCGATGACCTAGAAATCCCAGTGCTGGAGCCTCCGCGTGCCTCCACCAAGTCCAAGGAAACAAAGGAGGTCGGCCTCAGCCTCGATGACCCCTCCAAGAACGTGAAGATTGGGGCTCACCTCGACACCAAATAGGAAAGCACGCTCGTCTCCTTCCTATGTGCCAACATCAATGT